TCGGGCAAGGGCAGGCCGGCGCCGCCGAGAGCCACCTGCGGGGACGATGAGCCGAAGATGCGCCGAGATGCGCCGAGATGCGCCGAGATGCGCCGAGATGAGCCGACACTGCAAGTTCGCGAGCGCCACCTCGATGTCCCACGACACGTGCGGCGGGTCCTCCTTGGTGAAGGCAACGTCGAGGGTCGAGTCGAAGATGTCCCACCAGGCGAGGCAGCGCGCCTGTTCGCGGCGCTCTGTTTCTGGCCCCGCCGGGCGAGACAGCGCGGGCCGAAGGAGGGGCGTGGGATACTTGTGAGGGGGCGGGGCTGCGTCCGTCACGTAGCCCCGCCCCCTCACAAGTATCCCACGCCCCTCCTTCGGCCCGCGCTGTCTCGCCCGGCGGGGCCAGAAACAGAGCGCCGCGAACAGGCGCGCTGCCTCGCCTGGTGGGACATCTTCGACTCGACCCTCGACGTTGCCTTCACCAAGGAGGACCCGCCGCACGTGTCGTGGGACATCGAGGTGGCGCTCGCGAACTTGCAGTGTCGGCTCATCTCGGCGCATCTCGGCGCATCTCGGCGCATCTCGGCGCATCTTCGGCTCATCGTCCCCGCAGGTGGCTCTCGGCGGCGCCGGCCTGCCCTTGCCCGACTGCATCGAGGACAGCTTCCTCAGCTGGCTGACGCGCCTGGTGATGCTCGGCTGGCTGCCGGACATGGAGACAACCGTGACTGCGGAACAAGAGAGCTGTGAACAGGTGATGCGATCCTTCAACCGCGCCTACCCGCTCCACCTCGACCTCGAGCAGGAGGAGGCCGACCGCTGCAGCGACAGCGTGATCGAGTGCATCGGCGACGCGCTCGACGACGAGCTCAGCATCGTGCGCGGCGTGTAGCTAGGGAATGCCCCGCCAGAGCAGTGGCTCGAGTACAGTATAGCTGCCACACCAACTAGAGAGGTGAGCCGGGCGACTCAACGTGGTAGACGGAGGGGGTGCGTCGCGCGTGTAGAGCGTAGTAGTGTGTGGTGTACTAGTTACAGGTGGCAGGTGCGTCACTATGTGCAGAAAAAGCGAGCCAAAAACACATGCGGCAGAAAGACTTTCACGACCGTCTCGTGTGCTCACAGCTTCCCCCGTTCCTCACTGTCCCGACCCCCACCCTCGACCTTTGGCTTGGGCAGCAGCTGGCCCTGCTCATCGCCGTGGGCCCCTTACCGACCAAAGGCTCCACCGCGCCGGAGATCCACACAACGCTGAGAGATTGGCTGCGGAAGCCTCCAATCGATACTGCGAAACCGCGATGACGCGCCCGTGTTCGAACCATGCGTGCAGTGTGCTCCCAAGCAGCTCTCTATGAGCGCTGGGCCGCCTCCGCCGCCATCCTGGCTGCCGCTGCCTTGGCCCTCGCCGTCGCCACCGACGCGCGCCTCGCCTTGGCGGCGGCGATTGCGGCCTCAATCGCCGCCTCCTCCGCCGCCAACGCAGCCTCTTCCTCCGCCGCGGCCTCCTCCAACCCCTCCGCCTCCGCACTGCAACGCGCGGCCTCGGCCGCCTCGGCCTCCTCGCGCGCCGCCGCAGCCTGCCCCTCCGCTGTCTCCTCCTCGCTCGCCTCGTCCGCCGCCTTGGCCGCCTCTCCCAGCGCCTCCGCCAGCCCCTCGACCGACGTCTCCGGCGTGATGCCGAACCGGATCCTCTCCTCGGTGAGCGTCTCGAGAAGCAGGAGAAGCCTCGCCTCCTCGGCCTTCTTCGCGGCCTCGGCTGCGTCTGCCTCCGACGGCGCCTCGGCACCCTCCTCGGGCTCCTGCGACGGCCCAGCCCCGCCCGCCCCGCCGCCGTTCTTCTTCTTCTTCTTGCCCTTCTTGCCCTTGGCGCGCTTCTCCGCCTCGACCTCCGCCAGCAGCTCCTCGGCGTGCCGCGCCGCCTCCTTCTCCTCCGCCGCCCTCTGCGCCGCCCTCTCCGCCGCTCCCGCGGCCCACGCCGCCTCCGCCGCCGCCTTCTCCGCCGCCTTCTCCGCCGCCGCATGCTCCGCGAGGGCGCGCACGCACTCAGTGTGGCCCTCCTGCTTGGCCCACTGCAGCGCGGTCAAGCCACTCGTAGTGCACACCGTCACATCTGCGCCCGCCCGCAGCAGGCAGAGGAGGGCGGCGGGGCGGCCGTAGAACGCGGCCCAAATCAGTGCGGTGGCGCCGGTGTTGGCCTGCAGGTCGATCTCCGCGCCGTGCCGCAACGCCAACTCGACCAGCTTCTCGCGGCCATGCGCGGTGGCAAGCATCAGCGCAGTGGTGCCGTCGCTGTTCTGCAACGAGATATCCGCGCCGCGCTGGAGCAATGCCTCGGCCAACCCCTCGTGGCCCCTCATCATCGCGAGCATCAGCAGCGTCACGCCGCTCGCAGTGCCGTCCGAAAAGACGCACTCGAACGTCGCGTTGACCCGCCCGCCGCCGTCGAGCCACGCCAGCACAACCGCCTCATCGCCTCGTTTAGCCGCTAGCACGACCTCCTCTGGCACCGCACCGCCGCTGCTCGGCTCGGCCTCCTTGCCACCCTCGCCGCTCGAAGTAGAGGCCGCGGCACTCGCACCCTCCGCCGCGCCTGCGCCGCCTGCTTCGGCCGACGGCGCCTTGCTCCGGCTCGCCGCCACCTCCCCGAGATACGTCCTGAAGGCCTGGACGCACTCGGCGTGGCCCTTCCTTTTGGCGATCTGCAGCGCGGTCTGGCCAAATACATCGCGCAACGCCATGTCCGCGCCCGCCCGCAGCAGGCGGAGCACGACGGCGGGGCGGTTGTGCGCTGCGGCGAGCATCAGCGCGGTGCAGCCCTTGCGGTCCTGCAGGTCGATCTCCGCGCCACGCCGCAGCAGCAGGTCGACGACCCGCTCTTTGCCGCCCAGGGCGGATGATGCCAACGCCGTCCCGATCTCTGCTCCGTGCTGCAGCAGCTGGTCCACCACCCGCTCGCGGCCGTGGAAGGCGGCAGAGTTCAGCGCTGTGAGGCCGAGACTGCTCTGCAGGTTGATGTGCGCGCCACGCTTCAGGAGGAGCTCGACAATCTGCACGTGCCCGCTCTGTGCGGCGCGCATCAGCAGGGTGCATGGAGCCTCACCGCCGCCGCCGCCCGCCTCACAGTCAGCATCGAAGAGCGTGTTCGCCTTCCCGCCGTCATTCAGCCACGATCGCACCGGTCCCACGCGGCCGTCTGCAGCCGCCTTGAGGACGTTCTTTGGGGCTTGGCCGACCGGCGCGCTGTCAGCAGGCGGTGGCGTGCGGAGCGCGGCGGTGGCGCGGGAGGGCGGGGCGGGCATGACGGTTTGGCGGCTAAGGCGGCGGGGGGCGAAACCGGGATTTCTTTTGTGCTGCTCCCGTCATTTTTTTGATATCGTCCGCACTCGCGCAAAGGGGTTCATGCAACCGCCAACCCGACGGGATCGTCATACGCCGATCGCTCCTCATGTCACAAACAATGGCCTTCATATGGGGTGCATCGAGGAGCTATCAGCCGGCCTCCGCTAGACGCAGAGGCACTCCTGGAGAAGGGCGAGGTAGTTCTGGCTCGCCAGGTGCGCGCCCTCGGGCGCCGGTGACTCCTCGCGGGCTCCGAGCGCGGACTGCACGTTGCTCAGCAAGCCGGCAGCCTCGTCCGCCGCGAGCGCAGCCAGCAGAGCGCCGCGTCCGGAGCCGGCTGGCGGGCACGGCGCACTCGCGGACAGGGGCTTCTCGGTCGGGCAGGGGCCGAGCCCGCCGCCCGCGCCGGCGCCGCTACGCTCGGCGGCGGTGCCCAGCAGGGCATCGAAGAAGAGGCCTGGTCATGTGATGAAGGCGTGAAGAATCGCTATTCACGGCTAGGTGTGAAGAGGCGTCGACTGCCCGCGGCGCGCGAGCAGTGCGTGAATGCTTGTGTGCGTGTCGTGTGCGTGTCGTGCGTGTCGTGCATGCGTGCGTGCGTGCGTGCGTGCGTGCACCCGCGAGTCGTGCTGTTGTCGCGCGCTGCGCGTCATTCTCGAGCGTCTCCGCCGGCGGCGGCGCGCCCAGCAGAAGGCCCACGCCTCGCTCCGCCAGCCGACAGGCGCCTCCGGCCGCCTCTGCGACGCCGAGCTGCGCACCTGTAGGGATCCGGGAAGAGGGCTCAGCGAAGCTTCCCGCCTCCGGCCAGACCGTCACGGCACCGAGCCGCGCACCTGCCTCCCAGTTGGTCCCTGACACGTCCATAAAGGCGCAGTGGGTGCCGCCCACGATCTCGGCGTAGTAGAGCTCCGGCGCACGCGAAAGCGCTGCGTAATACGGGCGCGCCGTTCGGGCGGGGGGGCAGATGCCGTCCTCGGTCGCCGAGAGCACCATGATTGGCTTGGAGATGGACGCGAGCGTCTCGCTGTGCACCACGCAGGGAGACATGACGAACGCGCCCTCAAAGTCCTCGTCTCTCGACGTGGCGATGAGCGAGCCCGCGCCGCCGAGGGAATGGCCGACGGCCACGGCCGGGGCAGCCGGCAAGAGGGTGCCGTAAAGCTCCGACCCGAACTCGTTCGCCGAGTCGCGCACGGTGTGCAGGACCTTGGTCATGTCCTCCCCGTAGCCGGAGAACCACGTGTGCGGGGCGCCGTTCGAGAAGTCGAAGAAGTGGCGTGGAGAGTCGATGACGTCGCTGTGCAAGAATACCATCATCAGGTCGTGGGTGTCTGCGAGCCTCTCGAGGTGTGGGTACCAATCGCCCCAGCAGAGCGTGCAGTGCGCCACGACGGCGATGCCGGTCGCCTTTCGCTCTGGCCGCACGATGGTAGCGCGAACGCTGCCCTGCCACCAAGCGCCACGCGGCACCGAGAACTCGAGGCTGGTGTGCGCCGCCGCTTCGGCTAGGGACGCGACAACGATTGCCAGGGACAAGAGCATGGGTCGTGTCGGCGGCGAGTCCGAACCAGCTGAAGCACAAGGTGGTTGCGTCGGAAGCATGGGCAAAAGAATTTTACAAACAACTTCCTCGCACAACACTGGGCACGGGACTGGCGCGCACTGGCACTAACACAGGTACACCAAAAGAATTTACTCGGCCGCCCCGCGGGACTGGCGCAGTGTTGTGCAAAGCAAAGAATTTGAGGCCAAAAACACCCCAGTTTGTCAGATTGGCATCCATGCCTCTCAAACAAAAACAAGAATCAGACCATGCCTCTCTGGACAACACCGCGCGCGGGTCGGCGCTGCGTGACCAGGTGACTGCCATGTGTACCATCCAGTCAAACCGCTTGAAGAGACGCGGCAGGGGTAGATCGACACCCTGGGGTGGAGGCGAGCGGAGCCTGCCCCACCAGCGAGTGACGGGGTAGGTGTCGAGTATCAGCTTTGCCTCGCTCTGTGACCAGCCGCTCGGCATAGGAAAGTCTGCATGGTGTGCGTGGCCGCTGGCGCGAGGCTTCGCCGACACATTCGGAGCAAGCTCAGCAATCGTGTGCTCGTGCCTCTGAGCGGCAGCTGTTATGCCGGCACTGCGAGGGGACGACGCATTCGGAGCAAGCTCAGCAACAGCAGCGTGCTTGTGTCTCAGAGCGGCGGCCCTTCTGCTGTTGGTGATTTGCCTCACCTTGTTGGGCGTCAGCGCTGGAGCGATCGCGATAAGCAATGCGGGCATTGTAGGTCAGTCCTGTGGCACGAGACTGAAGAGCGCGAACTTTGAACCGCCCGTCAAGACCATCGAATGCTTTTTTTGCCTCTCAGCCTTCCTCCAGCACGGGAGTACCCGTGTGGACCGGAGGTAACAGCAGCAGCAGCAGCAGCAGCCTTCCTCCAGGCCTTCCTCTCGAGCACGAGTCGGCGACGTTCAGACCAAAATTCTTCTTCTTCGTGCCAGTGCGCGCCTTTCCCGTGCCGTGCGTTGTTCAATTCTTTTTGTTCGCGCGTTGAGCCTCACGACCGCTCTCGTACACCCATATGAGCTCGAGTGGTGACGCTCAGGACGCTGCCGCGCGGGTCGCTGCGCTCGAGTCTGAGCTGGAGGCGACTCTCGAGGCGGCGGTGCGCCGGGAGGCGCTCAACGCCCAGACCATCAAGCGGGAGGCCCTCAACGGCGCCGGCGCGCTCGAGGCGCGAGAGCTCCGATCGCGGGTCGATGTGCTGTACCAGGAGAACGACGTGCTGACGGCGCAGGCGCGGCTGTCGGCCGACGAGCTCGAGCGGCTGCGGCAGGAGCGCGCTGGCGGCGTCGAGGACCAGATGCGCCTCGTCGGTGAGGTGGGCGAGCTGAGGGCGCACGTGGCGGCGGTCGAGGCGGCGGCGGCTCGCGCGGCCGCCTCTCGCGACGCGGCGCGCGAGGAGCTGCAGCGGTGCGGCGCGGAGCTGCTCGAGGCGCAGGAGCACACGCAGACCGCCTTGGCCATCGCCGAGCGGCACGCCAACGAGCGCGACGACGCGCTGCGCACGGCGGCCGAGCTGCGCGCGGCTCTGGAGCGAGTCCGCGGCAAGGAAGAGGCGGAGCGTCGGGCGCTGGCCGCCAGGGCAGAGACGGCAGAGGCCGCCGCCGCCGCCCAGCAGCAGGCGGCGCGCGCACTCAAGCTCGAGATGTCTGCGGCGAAGGAGCGGGAGCAGGCGGCGCTGCATGCGCTGCACGACTCGCGCGCCGACGCAGCCGCTGGCGGCAATGCGATCCGCTCGCTCGAGGCGCGGGCGCTGCACGCCGAGGGACGGGAGGTGTGAACAGCGTCTCTTCACACCTCTAGCTGTGAACAGGCGCGGGCGCTGCACGCCGAGGGACAGGCGGCCAGCGCGGCGGCGGCGCTCTCCAAGTGCGAGAGCGAGCTGGCGGCGGCGCAGGGCGGGCGCGAGGCGCTCGAGGCGCGAGCGGCGCGTGCGGAGGCAAGGGCGGAGACGCTGCAGTCGGCGCAGCGGGCAGCGGCGGAGGAGGAGCGAATTGCCCTTCCCCCCTCCCCTCCTCCCCGCACCCCCTTGCCTCACCGCCGTGTGTGTGTGTGTGTGTGTGTGTGTGTGTGTGTGTGTGTGTGTGTGTGTGTGTGTGCGTGTGTGTGTGTGTGTGTGTGTGTGTGTGTGTGTGTGTGTGTGCGTGTGTGTGTGTGTGTGCGTGTGTGTGTGTGTGCGTGTGTGTGTGTGCGTGTGCGTGTGCGTGCGTGTGTGTGTGTGCGTGTGTGTGCGTGTGTGTGCGTGCGTGCGTGTGTGTGTGTGTGTGTGTGTGTGTGTGTGTGTGTGGAGACATTCACTTCACACCTCCTCCCTTACCGCGTAGGAGCGGGTGCGGGTGGCGCAGCTGAGCGCGTCGCTGCGGAGGGAGGCGGGTGCGCGCAGCGCCTCGCTGCGCGATGAGCTGGAGAGTGCCGAGCTGCGGTGCGCCGAGCTGCAGCAGCGGCTCGAGCGTGCGCAGAGCCGCGACGGAGGCCTGCCTCGAGAGGACCCGAGAGTACCCAAGAGTACCCGAGAGCAGCCGGGATTACCCGAGATTACCCGAGAGTATCCGGGATTACCCGAGGTTACCCGAGATGACGCGACGGAGGAGGCCTTGCCCATGAGGGAGGTACATGCGGGCCATGCTGGGGCCTTCGAGGAGCGAGCCCAGCGACTGCCGCTAGGCCGCTTCGGAGGGAAGTACATGCGGTCGCTGCAGGGCGGCGCCGGCGGGGCGAGCGACGGGGCTGCCCATGGCGTGGAGAGGGAGGCGGCCTCCTCCTCTCTCTGATTGTCGGCAGGCGGGGCGGGAGCGAGCCTCTCGGAAGCTTCTGGGAGATTTCCTGTAGGCGGCGGCGGCGCTGGTCGTCGCCGGTCCGGCGGGCGGCGGAGGGGGCGGCGAGGGCGGGTGGGGCGGCGGGGCGGTCGAGGCGGCGGTGGAGGAGCTGGCGGCGCGGCTGGGCGCGGCGGAGCGGGCGCGGGGCGCGGCCGAGGAGAGCGATGGGCGCGAGACTCCTACTCCTGATCCGCAGCCAGCATGGACTAGGCGCGGGGCGAGGCCGAGGGAATGGGTTGTTCAACGGGCTTTGGGGTCTGAGTGATGAGTGCTGCTGATTGCAAGGCGCGCGACGCGGCCGAGGCTGCGCGAGCGGCAGCGGCGTCCGAGCTCAAGCAGCAGGCCGACGCGCACGCGCTCGAGCGGAGCAGCGGCGAGGCGTGAAGCCCGACGCGACGCGCGTCTCGATTTCGTTTTCCTTGCCTGTGCGGCGAGTGAGTTCGTTGTTCGTGTCTAAGGCGAAGCTCGACGCGATGCGCCGGCAGCTGCGGCATGCCGAGGAGGAGGCCGCGCAGCTGCGTGGCGAGCGGCAGCGCACGCTGGCGGCGCGCGGGGGGGGCGGAGCGACGGGCGTGTCGATGACTAATCTCCCCGGCTGAGTGACTTCTGGTTCCTCGCAAGGCGCGCGAGGAGGCGGAGCGAGAGGCGGCGTCCGCGGTGGCCGAGCTGGCGGCGCGCAAGCACCAGCACGTCGAGGAGGCGAGGCTGACGGGCGAGGAGACGGACGCTGCGATCCGAGCACTGCGGGCGCAGCTCCGAGACGCGCGGGAGCAGCACGAGCGCTCTGCGGCGGAGGCGGAGGCGCTGCTCGGAGAGCAAGAGGAGCTGAGCCGCCGCTACCGCCACGAGGCGACCGAGCTCGCCCAGCGCTCCGAAGGGCTCGTCGTCGAGCTGCGGTCCGAGGTGGAGCGCCTCCCTAATGAACTACTAATTAACTACTAATTAACTACTAATGAACGACTAATGAACGACTAATGAACGACTAATGAACGCGAGGTCGAGCGCCTCGCGCTGCGCAACGCGGAGCTGTCGGCGCAGCTGGCCGCCACCACCACCGCCGCCAACCAGATGCGCGGCGCCGAGCAGGCGAGCAGCGAGCGGACTCGCGCCGACCCTAGGTAGCAGGGCACCCTACCCAACCCAGTACCCGAATCCGAGCAGGCGAGCAGCGAGCGGACTCGCGCCGTCGACGCGGAGCTCCGCGCGGCGCGGCAGGAGCTGTCGCGGCTGCGCGGCGCAGAGGCGCAGCACAGGGCGACGGCGCACGCGTGGGCGTACGAGCGCAAGCAGCTGCTTCGGCAGGTGCAGCGCTCGCACCTGATCGCAGAGGCGGCGGCGCGCGGCGAGGCGCCGCCGCGATTCGTGTCCGCACCGCCGCCGACCGCGCCGGAGCTGTCCTCGCCCGGTCCAAAGGCGAGACTAGATGCGGGAGACGGGTGCGATGGTCGGACTCGACAAGTGCTCCGAGATGTTCGGGCTGCATCCCGCCTGGACTCTGCTGTACTGTACCCGTAGCCCAGACTGCTGAGCGCTGTCAGAGCGGTGTTTCCCTTGTCATCACGCCGGTGCCTTCGTGACGCAGGCGGACGGGCCGCCGCGCAAGAGCCGCAAGGAGGACCCGCACGCGGCGGCGGTGCGGCAGGTGGAGAAGGCGATGGCGCGGGCGAGGGTCGCGCAGCAACAGCAGCAGAAGCGCGTGCCGCCGCAGCCGCGGCTGCAGAGCCAGGCAGTGCAACAGTGAAGCAACCGCTCCTTCAGAGCGTCGGTGAGCATGTGCATGGAGGCTCCAGATCATCCCCGCTTCTTAGCGCTGTCGTCAACTAGAGCCGTATCTCCATAAAGTTAGTTTATCTCCACGGGCCGGCGCTGTCGGTGCAGCTTCCTGCTTCGGGTTCGGCATGTTGTGTGAGTATATGGGACAAAAGCGTCGAAAATGTCCCAAAAAAGCGTGTCTCGAGTTTGTGGCAGCCCCACAGCCGGCGCGCGCTGCCAGGAAGCACCGCTCGAGTGTCGGCCGCACTCCCTGGCACCCAGTGAGTGCGGCCGACCGACCAGACCGATTAGGCTCGATGCCGCGCTCGCTGTGGAGCTGCCACAAACTCGCCGCCGAGCGTGCCACCGACGGCGTCCTGGCGGAGGTGGTGGAGTTTGAGACCTGAGGCTGCGGAGGTGACGCCTGAGGTACCGGGCCGTGCACGGCGACTCAGCCGGCGACCGCCACGGGCTCAGACGAGACTTGTCGACGCGTTCCGGCTCAGCTTCACCGTGGTCCTCGGGCGTCTGTCGACGTCAGGACCACCCATACAGCTCGCGGGTTTGAGGTCGCAAGAGCCAAGATGGTGGCGTTTGGACATCCCAACCATCACACAAGACAGCCTGTAGGTGGTGGCGGGACGGCGCAGTGTTTGTGGCACTCGGCAGTAGGCACCCGCGGCACGGCCCCGCTGTCGGCTCTCGCGGGCTGCGGAACCGGCCCCAGAGGGGGACGGTCCGGGCGAGTGTGGCAGCTCCTGCGCTAGTATGGGCAGCCTCTATCATAGCACTACTGATCCTGGTCATTAGAGCTGCCAGGGATAGCGTCAGGAGCCGGTAGGAGTCAAAACCCCTCATATTTGAGACATCGTGTCCCATATACTCGCACAACGAGCCGTTCGGCGCGTGCGCCTGCACAGCTGCGCGAGTTCCTTCCTGGCAACGCAGGCCGCGGCGGGGTGGGGGAAGAGCGTGCCGATGCAGCGGACGGCCCTCGGTCTGCACCCGACGATGCGGTGGACGATCCGCTTCGGCAAGTGGCTGGCGACGACGCGAGAATCAAAGCATTGAGGATTGAGGGCGAGCCGGTGGCACGCGACCGCGAGTAGGAGAACCGGAAAAGGAGAGTGAGAATCAGAAGCGACGGACACGAATCCCTCTCGAGCCTCCGCATACAGAATCCTATCTTGGGTGGCAGATACTCGTGGGTTGTTGCACGAGTATATGGGCCAAAAGCGTCGAAAATGTCCCAAAAAAGCGTGTGTCGAGTTTGTGGCAGCTCCGCAGCCTGCGCGCGCTGCCGGGACGCACCGCTCGCGCGTTCGGCACACTCGGTGGACCCCACCGAGTGTGCCGAACCAGCTGGAGTGAGTAGGCTCGATGCCGCGCTCGCTGTGGAGCTGCCACAAACTCGCCGCCGAGCGTGCCACCGACGGCGTCCTGGCGGAGGTGGTGGATTTTGAGACCTGAGGCTGCGGAGGTGACGCCTGAGGTACCGGCCCGTGCACAGCGACTCAGCCGGCGACCGCAACGGGCTCAGACGAGACTTGTCGACGCGTTCCGGCTCAGCTTCACCGTGGTCCTCGGGCGTCTGTCGACGTCAGGACCACCCATACAGCTCGCGGGTTTGAGGTCGCAAGAGCCAAGATGGTGGCGTTTGGACATCCCAACCATCACACAAGACAGCCTGTAGGTGATGGCGGGACGGCGCAGTGTTTGTGGCACTCGGCAGTAGGCACCCGCGGCACGGCCCCGCTATCGGCTCTCGCGGGCTGCGGAACCGGACCCAGAAGGGGACGGTCCGGGCGAGTGTGGCAGCTCCTGCGCTAGTATGGGCACCCTCTATCATAGCACTACTGATCCTGGTCATTAGAGCTGCCAGGGATAGCGTCAGGAGCCGGTAGGAGTCAAAACCCCTCTCATATTTGAGACATCGTGGCCCATATACTCGTGCAACAACCCTCGTCTTCCTGCTCGTCCGCCGACAAAATGATTTTCGACCGCAGCGAAACGCAGGGGCGCCCCCCCCCCCCCCACCCCCCCCCCACCGAGCTGCGAAACAACGGCGTCCACACCGGCCGCCGAGAAGCCCCAAAATTTTCCTCGGCGCTGCGCGCCGGGTGGAGCCGAGGAGATATGTTGCAGCCCACCGCAAAAGGTGGACAGAAAAATCAGCAGTCCTCCTCCGGGAATGTACGTAAGAGCTTTACATACACTGAGAGAGAGAGACGCATCGCCATCGCTTCGGTGAATGAAGGGGGTGAACCGCGCCATCCTCGAGCGCCGTGCAAAGCTCGCTCGCTTCCGAGCTCTCACGCCGCGCGTAGGGCCCTTAGGGGCCTAGAGAACACAGCCCCCCTCCCTTTTCTCCCAGTAAGCTCAAAGTACGTACACTGAAATTGCTGCCGCTCGCCTCGAAAGCGCCCGCCGGCCGCCGGTGGGTGTCCAAAGACGTACGCTGCAAGTTGGGCGGGGCAGGCATGAAGACGGTATGCCCGGCTGGCGCGATTTCTTTTCTGTGCGAGAAAGGTGATTTTGTTTTGCATTGTGGACTGCGAATTTCTTTTCGGAGCCATGGTAAAATTCTTTTGGGCTCGTTGGGCTCGTTGGGCTCGTGCTCCACTGGCTGTCTCAGGTGGCGGGCGTGCTGCCCGCCCTTCTCTGTGAGCAGTGGCTCGTGCCACTGGCTCCTGGACAGGCTCCATGCGCAAGAAGAAGCCCAAGCTGCTCGCCACGAGAAGGCAGCATGTGCGGCGCAACGGCGCACGCCCTGAGCGAGGCGTCGCGGTCCAGTGCTTCATCGATGGCGATCTGAGCGACATGTCGACACCGTTTGTCGTGCGGCAGTCTGCCGGCATGTCCTCCCAGCTCCGCCTGTCTCACGGATGGGTGGCCGGCACGCTGGACGCTGAGTCCCTCGACGATGCTCGGCGGCGGTACAGGGAAGAGGACCAGCAGACCTGGCCTCGCGTGTTTATCGACGACGTTTGCGTCGACCGGCACGGTGCGGTGATGCCCAGCCCAGAGCTGCGCGTCCGGCCGGACGACCTGCGAGACGCCTGCACCGTGTCGCAGTCCCGATTGAGCATTCTGCTTGTCCGCTGGGGCGGCGCTCACCGCATGGGCGAGGGTGCCGACCCGGCAGCCGAAGGCGATGGCGGCTGGGGAGCGCTCGGCTGCCCGCCGAGCGATTGGTACTTGGACGCGTTTGTGGCGGTGGGGGTGCTGAAGCACCCGCTGCTCGGGAGGGCGGCCGAGGTACTCTCCCTCTTTATCGGCAGCGACGCCGAGATGCGGGCGATACGAGACGAGGCGGGACAGATCGCGGGGCTCATGCGCGGGCTCAGGGCCGCCTCCTTCTGGATGCTGTGGCCGGCGGACTTTCCGACGGACTGGAGCAGCGACGAGTACGTCGGGTACGTGGAGCGGCGCGACATGTTTGCGAGCCAGCGAGCGCTGGAGGCCACCGGGCGGGTCGCTTCGGCCTTCCCTCACCCCGCCGACCTGTGGGAGTGGATCACCAGCAAGCGCTGGATGGCGACTCTCGCGCCGCAGTGCGAGGCCTCGCGCCTGCCGGCGTGCGCGCTGCTGAGCAGGCAGGCGGTGCTACGCAACCCGGCGGCGGCCGCTCGCACCGCCCTGCAGCGGCTGGAGGAGCTCAGGCTGGCCAACCGCAGCACTTGGGCGAGCGCGTCTCTGGCGGACGCAAACAGCGGCCGCCTGACCAGAGGCGTGGTCAAGATTGGCTGGTCGTGGGAGGCAAAGTTCGTGTGGTTCTGGAGAGGCGAGGCGAGCCTGGCGGAGTGCCTCCGAGCGATGCTCGAGCTGCCGGGCTGCCGCTCCGAGTTTTGCCTCGTGCAGGCGCGGACCACATCTAGTGCGGAGACGCCGTGTACCGTGGGGCCGTGTTGTCCTAGCACGGGGCCGTGGGGCCTTGTTGTCCTAGCACGGGAGCACCCGTGTGTGGACCGGAGGCAGCAGCAGCAGCAGCAGCAGCAGCAGCAGCAGCAGCAGCAGCAGCAGCAGCAGCAGCAGCAGCAGCAGCAGCAGCAGCAGCAGCAGGCGCGGACTAGCGTCGCTTTCCCGCGTCGCTTTCCCCGCGTCGCTTTATCGCCCCTCTCCCGCTCTCTCGCGCAACGGACTCGCGCTTTGCAGCCCGCAGCTCACGCGTAGCTGCGTCCGTGTCGCAGGAGTGGGTCGACTTCGACTGGGAGCTGCGCCTCTTCTTCCTGCCGCCGCGGGACTGGGCGCCGGGCGCGTCGCCGCCGCTGCGGCCGGAGCACTTTGAGTACACGGCGTGGGAGAACGCCGAAAACGCGGACGCGCCGCAGACCTTCATAAAGGCCACCGCACAGGCGGCGCTTGCGTCCTTTGGCGGGGACGAGCTCGCGATGGCGTCCGCACACAGGCAGGCCACCGCCGCGTCGCAGCCGCTGATCGCGGAGCTCTTCAAGCATGGCGCGCCGGTCCCGATGATCCGGATGGACTGGATGGTGAAGCGGCGCGGGCCCGGCCAGGCGCAGGTGGTGTTTGGAGAGTACTGTGAGATGGGCGCCTGCTGCCTGAAGTGGCAGGAAGGGCCGCCCAAAATATGGCGCAGCGCGTTGGACGTGGTGCTTTACTGAATTACAGTCATGTCCCCGTGAGCTGAGGGCCGCTGAGGCGGTGGCGCGCCCGCGCAAAACACCGTTACCTTTTCCTTTTGTGTAGCGTGGCGCCGTAATGAGTTGATAACAAGTACGCGAGTAACTACGTCACGTACCTGAGGCCTAGACGCGCCTACGCGCGCCCACACCTCGCGCACTGGCACCGGATGCCATAGATGGCGAGCCCCTCTGCGCGCACCCGCTTCGACAGCCGGCAATCCACGTATGAGTGGACAATCTCCTCGCCAGCCGCAACCTCGCGCAAGGCGACGATGCGCGCCGTCGCGGGCGCGTTTGGCGCGCCGCCGAAGGCGACGGACGCGTTTGGCGCGCACGAATGGTTCATCATGCAGACGAGCCAGGAGAGGCCTGTGGAGAAGGAGGCGAGCTCCTCATGAACGCGCGTGCCGTGTGTGTGTCGAGGTCCCAGCAAGGACAGGCGGAGGCCTGTCGCGTCGAGTGAAGGAGCGCCGCCTGCTGGGCTGGGCACCACCACCGCCACCTGGTCCAATGCGTGTTGCCCTCATCCAGTATGGAGTTCCGTGTCAGAACCGCTGACCAGCTGCCGCCTGGTTCAGGAATGCGAGGCCGACGAGGCTGCCAAACGAGTTGCGGCCGGCCATGCGTGCAAAGCGGCGAACCAGCCTAATGAGACCCCTCCAGATTCCAGCACGTGTGCACCACGGCCGAAATCTCGGAGAAATCTCGGAGAAATCTCGGAGAAATCTCGGAGAAATCTCGGCCAGAGCTCGGCACGCCTCGCGGGGACGGCCGCTCGCTCGCATGAGAGGAGCATCGCGCCGCGCAGCAGCCGGCAGGCTGTCTGGACCTACACGCACCGTGCGGTTCCGGTCGTCCTCTTTAGGGACCGCTTACGGCCGTCTTACTTCGTGTTCCGAGCTGAGTGGGCCGGGCGGATCTCGGAGAGGTCTCGAAAGGCGTGGCGAGCGGTGCAGGCCTGGCGCAGCGTCGCTGCCGCCGCCTCGGGTCCCGCAGCGTCGCGGCGCAGCACGACACTCACCGGCTCCTGCACAAAGCCCAGCGCCACCGCCGCCGCCGCCGCCTCGGCACCGCCGCCGCCTCCTGGCCGGGCTCTGGCCAGCCGCGTCAGCATGGCAGCGAGCAAGGCGGCGGCGAGCTCGAGCTCGGGCAGCTCGGCCTGTTCACAGGTGGTGCTGTGAAGAGACGCTGTTCACAGCGGCGAGCTCGAGCTCGGGCAGCTCGGCCTGTTCACAGGTGGTGCTGTGAAGAGACGCTGTTCACAGCGGCGAGCTCGAGCTCGGGCAGCTCGGCCTCTCGCGCGTGCGCTCGGAAGCGGCGCCAAGCAGCCGCCGCGGGCGAGTGCTGCAGTCCCGGACAGAGCAGGCTGTGGCCCCTCTCCATGCTAGCGCGACGGCACCGCTCGCTGCAGAAGAGCACACCGCAAGCGCACGGCGGGCAGCGCGCCCGGAGTGCCGCCTCCTCCATGCCCATCCGACCCGTGGCGAGCTTGCGGTGCGTGCTTGCCGACCCGAGGTTTGCAAGGCAACGCTCGCACGTGAACGACTTCACGCTGTCTGGCATAGGTACGGCAAGCAGCGGCGTCTCTTCGACGATGATTTCGCCGGCTGCGATTGTCCTGCTCGCAAACAGAGCGCGCCCGCGGCCAGGAATAGTCCTCACTCTGACTCCCGGTGGGCACGGCGGCGGCGGGGCGGCCAGCGGGTTGGCTACAGCTAGGCTGGCGATGGAGTCGTGTAGCCGTGCCCGCGTGTGCTTTCGTCGGCGACGACGCCGCAGGAGGGAGAGGCAAGTAAGGCTGCTGTGCGACGAGCGCGAGATGGCCATCACGTGTCCCGAGCGCCGCGCGCGTGGCACTGTGAATGGGCCTCCAGGGCTCTCGAACCTCAACCTCTCACAGACCAGCGCACAGTCCCGTCGAGTCCGGTTTTCATACATTAGCTGCGGTGCACAGCATGCTGGCGTTCACGTAAACGCACAAGGACCCCAGGAATTGCGACTCGCCGCTTTCCTCTTGGCCTGCATATACTTTTTCCGGCAAACAAAAAGGAACACAGAGGGTCCCCAGCACTTTGCGTTTCCGGAAATTTCCAGGGAAAACAGAGGGTGTTTGGTGCTCCATTCTGGAAACTCGCGAGTTTCCCTGAGTCTGAGAGCTGGTCTGGGGCAAAATCTGAGCGGTCTCAGCCCTACCTGGCCGTTCTATATTATAGAATGGCATCCTATAATGTAGAATGGCGTCTCGCGCGCGCTCACCCGGCCGCCTCGCAGCCCCAGCGGCCGGGGGGCGCTTGCCGGGGTTGAGGCTGGTCACACACAGGCGCCACTTTAACGCGGCGAGCCAGAGGAGTCACACAGGAGAGCCCCCAACACGCCACATTTTCAGCAGCAGACGGGCCGCGGTGAGGGCCCATTCTATATCGAAGAATGGGGTCCGCCGCCGTCCCCCACGGCCTCCTCACGCCCCCAGCGGCAGCGTGCCGCTCGGCCAGACTGGTGGGGTTCGCGACAAGCGCCAGTTCAACACAGAGAAGCCCAACAGTCCGCAAATGAGAGTCCTCCCCCCCGCCCCGGCAAACCAGAGCAGACGCCGGGGGCCGCGTATGGCGAAAGCAAACGCACGACGGCCGCCGGCGGCTGTTGAGCCGCTGCCGCCGTTCGAGCCTTGGATGTCCGTCCGTCGCCGCCTGTGGCGAGGGCAGTGGAAGTGTGAGATTTGTGCTCGCAAGTGGTGGGCGGGCGAAAGGGTCGGGCGGCAGAAGTGAGCAGACAGCGCGAATGCGGTCTTCCTGTGTCACATCTACATCTACTCCTCGTGTCACCTAGTCATGGTCCTCGCTTCCCTGCCCGGTCTCCGAGTCCTGCGCCTCGCCTGAGTCCTCGTCCAAGTTCGAGTAGTCCTCTCCTCGTCTTCGTCCTCGTCTTCGTCCTCTTCGTCGATCTCGTCGAGCCGGGCGGCTCCTGGCCCGTCCCGGCCGTGACGCTGGGGCCGACTTGCTACAGCGGGCGGGGAGACGGACCGCCAGCTCTGCTGCTGCCTGTGCTGCCCGTAGTCCTCGCCTGCGAGCGAGTGCCCTTTGCGGGGCTGTCGCTCAGAGAGCGGGTGTCGCCACGGCCGTCTTCTGACCTGTTTTGTGGTCTGCGCGCTGCGCTGCGCTGCGCGTCTCGAGGCGCGCCGCAACACAGCCCGTGTAAATGGGGTAATGGATGAACCAAGCATCCCCGATGGCCGGGGGCATGTCCCATGGCCCCGGGGTGGCCGTGGGCACGCAGGGGGCGCCGCTACGGGCCGCTACGGCGCCCATTCTATTTCGAAGAATGCCATTCTGGAATATAGAATGTAGGTCTGAGACCGTGAGGCAAAATTGAGGAAATCGGCACGATACCCAGGCGGTCGCAGGGACCAGGGTATTTTTCAGGTATACCGGGGGTTTCCAGGTATACCCGCAAAATACCCGGTATTTCGCCGATTTGGCTGATTTTGGGCCGGCCCCAAACGAGCCTCAGACTCGGGTCTCGGCTCAGAGCCCGGAAAATTTGATGGTTTCCCCGGGAAAAGAGAGAGGACAAGAGAGGGTGCTGTAGAGAAAAAAGGAAAGGAAAAGAGACGGGGTGCGAGAGGAAAAGTATATTCAGCCTAACTTTCCTCCCGCTGTGATCCTGTGTGAGTTTATAAAATGAACTCGGGGGCACGGGACGCGGCACGAACGGGGCACAAACGCCAGGCTACAAAGACGGGGAGGCACGTAGTGACGCAGGGGAGTCTAGGCGACGGCGATCCTGTGAGCTCTGTGTCTTGATTTGCCAACAATATACCTAAAACAAGCAAGGAGGGATGGGAGGACGCAACCGGGGTCCCAGCAAAAAAAACTTTCTCGTCCTCATCCCGCGCGTTGGAAAATGTCGTCGAGCGACAGTTCCTGCGCGCTCCGGCCGATTTCCACTCGTCTACACCTCTTCTCGCTCGCGACGGTGCGCGCCGCCACGATGCTGGGCCATTTTCTCCGCCACTACGCGTTTCAGGGCGTGGTGCTGTCGACGAACGCGCACCTCGTGCTGCACGAGGATTTTGCGCCGGCGCGCGTGGTTGCGAGGGCGATTTCGGTGTGCGCCGACCACGGCGTCGCCGACGTGTCGATTCAGAGTTCGACCAACTCGTCGGCGCTCGAGTCGTTCAAGCTTTCGCGGCTCAACTACCTGCTGGCCGCGCTGCCGAGCGACGCGTGGCTCATCTTCAGCGACGTCGACGAGCTCATTTCGTACCCGTGCGATGCGCTGGCGCAGCTGGCGGCCTCGGAGAAACGACGCTCGCACGATGCGATGTGCGGCTTCATGCACGGTCGCCTCGCCGCCGATTTTACGATTCCGCCGGTGGTCGCCCGCACACCGATCCAGCAGCAATTTCCGCTCTGCCCAAAGGAGTCGCTGCGTGGGTACAAGCCGAAAGCCCCGATCCACGCGAACCCGCTCAAGATCACGTTGATCAAAGCGCGCATAAACGGCCACGCGCCGGCGTATCTCAACGCGCACAAGGCGTGCGCCGGCGCCTTTTTGATCGGTGGCACGCCGCAGGCGAACAACCACTGCCTCTTCAACGGCCACTTCTCGCACTACACGTGGACATCCGAGGCGCACGACCTCGGGACGCGGCGGATCGCCGACAAGGAGTACACCGACGTCTACGTTCAGTCGGCGCGTCTGTCGGTGCCGTGCAACGCCTCCGACGCCGCCTCGTCGCTGCGCTGCCTCGCGCCGCGCTGGCGCGGAAAGCTCGCGGGCGACCGCGACCTGCCCTGCCCCGACGGGTGCAACTGGACGGCCTGCGCCCTCGCGCCTGCCGATTCGCCGCCGGGACCGCCGCCGGCCGTCGTCCGCCTCCCGGCGGAGCGGCCGATCGCCGAGAAGTCGTCTCGGTGCACGCTGGGCGACGGGTTTTGGATGCCGGCGTCCTAGCTAAAGCCGTAGAGTTCAGAGTTTTGGGGTGCATGTTTTCGTTTTTGTGCGGCCAGCTGGTCCTCCACCGGCGCGTCAGCCACCTTCACTCTTCACAGCTGCCACCGGACTCGGCGAGCGCGAGGGACTGCGTCTGCGAAGAGAGATAAAGCCGTCCTAAGAGGCAGACGCCCAAGGGTGGGCGACAGCTAGCACCACACTAGCTGACTCCTCTCCTTAAAATCCCTGGCGGTGTGTTGCGCCCCCGTGCCGTCCTCCCATCCCTCTCCCTTGGCGTGCTGTTTTCTTTCTTTCTGGCGCGGAGCGCGGTGGCGCGCAGTGGCACTAACACAGGTTACACGTGCAAAAAAAAGAAGTCCCACAGGGCGAGGGGGTCTACCTGTGCGATAAAGAATTGGATTTCGTCAGAATTCTTTCCGCCCCGCCGGAAATCATTTGTTCATGTTTCAAAACCGCCGATGTTTCCTTTGCACATCTCCGCCCCCCGCCCCCCACCCGCCACCCCCCCCCTCTCTCGCGTACGTCCTCTCAGAGACAGTTCACACTCTCTATGAGTGCTGCGGGGCTGCATCTGCCGCCGTCCTGGCAGTTGCCGCCCTCGTCCTCGCAGCGGCCGCAGCAGTGCGCGCCGCGTCTGCAGCGGCCGCCGCCTCCTCGAGCGCCGCGTCGCTCCCTTCGAGCGCCGTCTCGCCCCCTTCAACTGCCAGATCGGCCTCGACTAGCGCCGCCCTGGCCTCCTCCAGCGCCGCCCAAGCCGCCGCCTTCGCCGCCCTGGCCGCCGCCTGCGCCGCCTTGGCCTTCTCCAACGCTGCTCTGGCCTCCGCCCGCGCAACCTCGGCATCCGCCAGCGCCGCCAATGCCGCCTCCTCATCCTCCTCGTCCGCCTCCACCTCCTCGTCCGCCTCGTCCGCCGCAGCGCCCAAGCGCGCCGCCTCGGCCACCTCTGCCGACGCCGCCGCCTGGCTCTCCGGCGTGATCATGCCGAGCCGCATCCTCTCCTCGGTGAGCGTCTCGAGAAGCTGGAGAAGCCTCGCCTCCTCGGCCTTCTTCGCCGCCTCGGCTGCGTCTGCCTCCGACGGCGCCTCGGCACCCTCCTCGGGCTCCTGCGACGGCCCCGCAGCCCCGCCCGCCCCGCCGCCCTTCTTCTTCTTCTTCTTGCCCTTCTTGCCCTTGGCGCGCTTCTCCGCCTCGACCTCCGCCAGCAGCTCCTCGGCGTGCCGCGCCGCCTCCTTCTCCTCCGCCGCCCTCTGCGCCGCCCTCTCCGCCGCTCCCGCGGCCCACGCCGCCTCCTCCGCCGCCTTCTCCGCCGCCTTCTCAGCCGCCGCATGCTCCTCGAGGGCGCGCACGCACTCGGCGCGGCCCTTCTCCTTGGCCCACTGCAGCGCGGTCTTGCCACTCGTAGTGCACAGCGTCACGTCTGCGCCCGCCCGCAGCAAGCGGAGGAGGGCGGCGGGGCGGCCGTAGAAAGCGGCGAGAATCAGCGCGGTGTCGCCGGTGTTGGACTGAAGGTCGATCGCCGCGCCGCGCCGCAACGCCAACTCGACCAGCTTCTCGCGGCCATTCCCGGCGGCAAGCATCAGCGCAGTGGTGCCGTGGCTAGTCTGCAACGAGACATCCGCGCCGCGCTGGAGCAGCGCCTCGGCCAGCCCCTCCCTTCCACGCGTCATTGCGACCATCAAAAATAAAATATTCTTAGCTTCAAGCCCCCCTCCGAGACTAGAGACAGAACCACACCAGTATCGGACCAGAGGGACTGCCCCCCGCCCCCACTTGCCCTGACTACACAGGATAGCGTGCCCCGATAACGGCGACACATAGTGGGGGACACTGCGCAAGGAGGGGGTGCGAAGGCTCATTGGGGTACTAGGTGGGACCATGAGGGGGGGTGGGCGGGGTCCTGTGGGGGTGAAATGTTGCGCGGCGAATTCGAACCTACCCCCTCGCCGCGCCGATCCTCACGCGGAGGGTAAAACCCTGTGGGACAAAACCCCCCCGCGGTCGGCAGTCTTCAGAGTGGACCCCCCCTTCCCCGGCTCCCCTGTGCATTTCGAACCCCCCCCCGTTTCCCTTCGGGGACTCGCGGAGGGCACGGACATTTGGGGTGGAAGGGGGGCCCCCCGAAAGGGGGCTTTGGGGCATTG